GATCCTACGTCCGCGGACGGTTCCTAGACGAGCTGGGGAGGTAACTCGACGGTTTTGGGCTTGGGGCGGCGCCCCATTGCCAAAACGATCGAGTTACCTCCGATTTTACCCCGGCGACGTTGTGCGGACGAAAAATACCACAGCAGTGAGAGCATGGCGCTACCATCTCAGCGCGCTGCGCGCGGTGGACTTGCTGCGCTGCGAGCCTGACCTCACACATGTTCTCGAGGGTCGTTTCGACGCGCTGGCCAGCGACGAAGTCGAAATTTTCTCCCGCGCGGCGCGCGGGGCGGGTGCGGCGACTCTGTGGCAGCGGCCTCTCGGGCGGCGGCAGCGGCGGCTGCGCGGAGCAGGCTCGTTCTCCGGCGAGGGCGCGACCTCCTGCACGCCGCGCGCGAGCGGCACGTGCAGCTGCGCCGGTTCTGGACCGCTACGCGCACTGGATCCCGCCGAATTTTTCCTCCCGCGCTTCGCGCGGCAAGGAGGCGCTCGAGACCAAAACCGGTGCCTGGGCGCTGCGCGGCTTCATGGAGGTGGTCTAGAACATGTTCGAGGACGCCATGGACTTGGTCTCCGCTATAATCTCCACGCGCGCGCGCGACGACGACGACGACGACGACGACGACGACGACGACCGGCCGGCCGGCCGGCCGACCGGCCGGGGCCGGGGCCGACGGCGCAAATGGCGTCCGTCGACGCCTCCGGCTTCGGCCCTGCGTCCCCGGGGTAAGACTAGGCGCCCCCGGCGTCGTAGCGACCGTAAATGCACTTTTCCCGATTAACGACGGGTCTGCCTCGCTTATTGGGAAGTTGACTCCGCGGGCTTCTTGGCGGCCGGCTTCTTCGCCGCGGACCTAGACGTTCATCGACTTTGACGCGCGCGAAAATTAGATTTTGAACTTGGGACGATTTCGACTTTGAGCGACGATTGCGATCCCCGGTTGACGCAGAAGAGCGCTTCGCGGCCTTCTTTACGGTCGCCTTCTTGGCCACCTTTTTCGTCGACTTCTTCGGCGGCATCGTGAGCGTTGAGGTGCGAGGTGCGCGCCGCGAAATTACAAAGACTTTGTGGCAGCCGCGGCTAGTGCGAGCGGTTCCGCCCCGGGCCCCCTAATTAGAGACGCGTCAAGGCTAGTGCGAAAAAATCCACAAGAATCGCTCACATCACCCACGCGGGGGGGGGGGGCTCCTAGCTGCACTAAGTACGAGCGCCTTCGAGGCGGCTTTTAATCGATGTTCTGGTGCTCCGATCAGCGGTCGGGCGGGGGCGCCGGGGCCTCGGGCGGCGGGGCCTCGACGGCCGCGGCGGGCGCGGGCGCCGCGGGCGCCGCGGGCGCGTCCACCGCATCGATGGCCTCCAGGAGCGCGGCGTCGCCCTTTTCCGCACGGATGAGTGCCAGAAGCCGTGCCGCCGGCGGGGGAAGCGCGGCGCGCAGCATCTCGACGGACGTCACCGCCGCCTGGATCGGTGCCGACTTGGTCATCAGCACATCGACGAGCTGGCAGCTCTCGGCCGACTCGTCAAGCGCGAGCTTCCTGAGCTTCTTGTTCTCCTGGGCGACGAGCGGCTCGACCGCCACCGTGTCGAGCGTGACGTTCGGGTACGCGTAGAGCAGCCTGAGTGCGGTCTTCGCCGAAGCGGGAGTGCAGGCGGCGACGATGGCGGTGGGCACGAGCTTGGCTGGCGCCAACGAGAGCAGGTAGTCCACCAGCTTGATGGCCGCCGGCGCCTTGGAGAGCACAAGCCCGGCGAGCGGCGGCCCCCCGATTGTGCACCAGATGAACTTGCACTTGATGCCGCCATGCGCGTCACCCGGCCCGCCCCAGGAGTTGTCTCCGCGGTGAATCTCTTTGTGGTTCCGGCCCACCTTGTGCGCTCCGTCGGCCACGCCCAACTGGACCCAGCCGATGCCCTCGTTGTTCTTGGCCGGGTCGCCGTCGAGAACCGCGGCCCACGTGTGCCCGCCGTGCGGCCCGTCCATCGGCTTGCCGTCGTTGATGATCAGCTTCTTGGTCGTCTCGTCGACGATCTCGCGGCGGTACGCGAGCCGTCCGCCGTGCTCCTCGCAGAGCTGCTGAGCGGAGGTGCGGCTGTACTTTTGCCCGGCCTCAATCTGCTCGAGCCGTTCGGCCTGGCCCGCCGACATCCAGGCGAGGATGTCCTCGCTCACCACGAGCCGCTTCTGCTCGATCAGCCGCAGCGCGACGCCCGCAGTCGACGGCTTGGCCAGCGCGAGGAACGTCTCGGCCGCGGGCGCGGGCGCGGGCGCGGGCGCGGGCGCCGCGGCGCCGCCGTTTAGCGGTTCCTCGCCCAGCGGTACGCCCACGATCGCCACGCCCAGCGGTTCCTCGCCCAGCGGTTCGCCCACGATCGCCACGCCCAGCGGTTCCTCGCCCAGCGGTTCGCCCACGATCGCCACGCCCAGCGGCTCCTCGCCCAGCGGTTCGCCCTCGCCCAGCGGTTCCTCGCCCAGCGGTTCACCCTCGCCCAGCGGTTCCTCGCCCACGATCGTCACGCCCGGCACGACGCGCACCGGCTTGCTGCTTTTGCAGCCCATCTAGAGTCTGGGCCCTGGGGCACGAGCTGCTAGGGTGCCGCAAGGAGCGACTTGGCGCTCATCGTATGGCGCTGAATCGGCTTGCGGCTGTTGCCGGGAGCATTAGAGGAATGCCATGCCAAGCCCGGACAATGCGGGCGTTGGAGTTGAACTGCATCCACTCCTTCCTTTGTCACAAGTTGCCCCCACTCCTTCCGGCGGCGCGCGCCTCCGTGGGGCGTCGCTCGAGGCGCAGGCTACGGGCCGGGCCGCGGTTACCGGGGCCCCTAGGCGGAGGGCGCCTCGTCGACGGAGACGGCCGTGCCCGGCGCGGAGGACGCGAGCGACGGCCGCGCGGGCGTCCGCGGCGCGGCCGCGGCGACGACGACGGAGTCGAGGTCGACGGGCTGCTGGGACGCGGGCTCGCGCTGGGCGACGAGGAGGCGGCCGCTGTAGTCCGCGGCGACGACGAAGGCCGTCGAGAGCGCGGCGTCGTAGCGCGCGGCGAGGTCGTCGCCGCCCGCGGCCGCGAGCGCCGCGCGCGCGACGGCCGGCGGCGCGAAGCGCGCGGCCGTGATGGCCGCGACCTTGGCGTTGCGCGCCGAGGCGTCGAGCTCCGACGGGAGGGCGTCGTCGGCGCCGTCGAGGCGCCAGACGAGGATCTTGCCGTCCTCGGAGCCGCCCGCCGCGTAGCGGCCGCACGCGGACGGCGCCGCGCCGCAGCCGAGCGACGCGCGGACGCCGCCGCGCAGCGCGAACAGGGGCTCCTTGTGCGGGTTCAGCGCGTCGTAGCCCTTGACGGGCGCGTGGTTCGCCGCCGCGAGGAGCACTCCGCCGTCCGGGTCGAGGTCGGACTCGGGCGCGTCGTAGAACGCGAGCGTCGTCGCGCGGTGCTCGACGCCCGCGAGCGTCGCGACGGCGGCGTGCGTCGGCCCGTGCAGCGCCGCGCCCCCGGCGTCGTCGTCGTCGGACGACGCGCCGTCGAGCGCGTCGTCGTCCTCGACTTTCGTGTTCTCGTCGGGCTCGTCCGCGGGGACGGCGGCCACGTTGAGGAACGCGGCCGCGCGCGCCTCGGACGCGCGCCGCTCGGCGTCCTTGTCCTTCTTCGACTTGAAGAAGGCGCCCGCGAGCTTGGATTTGAGCGACTTGGACGGCTTCTTGGGCCGGGGCGCCCGCGCGAGGCCTTCGAGCGCGCCGCCGGCCTCGACGGTCGACTTCACGCCCGCGGCGCCGCACTGCTCCGCCTCGACGAAGGCCGACGACCGCATGGTGCCCAGGACCATCTCCTCGAACTCGAGGTGCGCGTGGTCCCGGCTCTTGTAGACGAACATCTGCCCGCCGCGCGTGCCGACGGCGAGCCGCGCGAGCGCCTTCGGGCCGGACCCGCCGCCGGGCCGCGCGCCCAGGGCCGTCACGCAGTCGTTGAGGTGCGCCCAGGCCGTCGCGCGCTGGCTCGGCAGGTGCCAGAGGCGCACGTTGCGGTCGTAGCCGCCCGTCGCGAAGCACTCGGGCCCCAGGAACGCGCACGCGCAGACGCCCGACCCGTGGCTGAAGACCATCGCGCACGACAGCGCGGTGCCGGACCCGCGCCAGAGGCGCGCCGTCGCGTCGGCCGACACGGACACCAGGGTCTCCTCGGACCCGCTCGACGGCCCGAAGGCGACGTCGAAGACGGGGCCCCCGTGGCCGCCCAACTTCCGCTCCCCGAGGAGCAGCGCCTCGCGCGGCAGCCGCCAGTCCGGGGGGCACCCCGCCCCGCCGCCGAGCGCCGCGACGGTGACGAGGCAGTCGGACCCGCCGCAGGCGACGACGCCGCCGTCGCTCACGGCCGCGCACCACAGGGGCCCCTCGCAGACCTGGCGCGACTGCACGATCTCGCTATGCCACGCGGGCGGCATCGCGTAGGCGAAGTCGTCGCCCCTGCCCGCCCCGCCCCCGGGCGACAGCGACTTGCGCCACGTGCTCCGCTTCTTCCGCTCCTCCTCGAGCACGGCCTCGGCGCTCCCGCTGCCGTGCTGCGCGACGCCGAGCTCGACGTCGCTGGGAGCCGGGTGCAGGGCGTCGCCGTGGTGCAGGAACTCCATGGGCGTTTCGAAACGCGCGTCGTCGGTCGGCCCGTCGGGCGAAGGGTGCGTGGCGGTCGGCGGCTGCTCGGCGCCGGAGCGGTGCTCGCTCCCCTCGACGAGAGGCGCGTCGAGGGACATTTCGATCTGTTTGGGCGAGCAGGGAAACATTCCAGATCGATTAGCTCGTTGCCCCTCTGACGATGTCGATGGCTGCCCAATCCAGCACGATCTCGCTGCCCACTCCGGCATAAACTCGCTGCCCACTCCGGCGTGCTGCCTCCGCTCCAGCTTCGTGATCGCTTGAGTTCACGTGCCGAGCCGCGCTGCCTCGCACAAGGCTGCCTCGCACACGGGCTGCCTCGCACAAGGCGCCTCAAGCCGCAGCACCACGCCCATGGCCGAGGACCTCTTCTACACGCGCGGCTCGGCGGAGGAGATCCTCGCCGCGCTGCCGGCGCTGCGGCCGCCGCCGGCGTCGGCGCGCGTCGCGGGCCTGCGCGTCGCGGTCGTCGGCGGCTCCGTCGGAGGCCTCGCCTGCGCGGCGTGCCTGCGCGCGGCCGGCGTCCGCGACGTCGCCGTCTTCGAGCGGTCCGACGCGCTCGGCGCCGGCGCGGGCATCTCGCTCGACGACGCGTCGCTGGCCGCGCTCAAGGGGCTCGGCGCCGCGGACGGCCTCGCGCTGCGGCCCATGCGGTACGTCGAGGAGCGGACGACGGCCGGCGCGCGGCTCTCGCGCCAGCCCTTCCCCTACTCGGGCGTGCGCTACGGCGCGCTCGCGGCGAGCCTCGAGCGCGTCCTGCCGCCGGGCGTCGTCCGCCGGGGCCGCCGCGTGGCGGCGGTGGCGGACGGCGCCGTGACCTTCGAGGACGGGTCCTCGCGCGCCTGCGACGTCGTCGTCGGCGCCGACGGCCCGCGGTCGCTCGCGCGGCGCTTCGTGGACGACGCCGACGACGGCTCCCTGCGCTTCGCGGGCTATTCGGCGCTCCGCGGCACGGCGACGCCGCCGCCCGACGTCCTCGCGGCGATCCGCGGCGAATTCTCCGAGTTCGGCAACTGCAACTGCTTCCTGCTGGCCGACGGCGCGCACGCGGTGCTCTACGACGTCGGCGACGACCGGCGTCGCGACGGCGCCGAGGGGACACGACACCACGCGTCGCGTAGGCGACGACACGATCAACTGGCTCGTCTACGAGAACGGCGGCCCGCGCGGCGAGCGGTCGCGGACGACGCGGCCGGCGACGGCCGAGGAGGTCGCCGGGCTCAAGCGCGGCGCGACGGCGCGCTGGGGCGCGGGCCTCGGCGCGCTCGTCGAGCTGACGGAGGCGCCCTTCTGGACGGACATCTACGACCTCGAGCGGGCGTTCCACCGCGGCCGCGTCGCCGTCCTCGGCGACGCGGCGCACCCGATCACGCCCCACCTCGGCAAGGGCAGCAACCTCGCCATCCAGGACGCCTTCGTCCTCGCGAGTTGCGCCGCGGGCGCCGACGACGCCCGCGGGTGGCTGGCGGCGTACTCCGCGGCGCGCGTCGAGGAGGCCGGGGCCTCGCTGCTCTACTCGCGGCACCTCGGCCGCGTGCGCAACGGCCTCGACGGCGGCCCGCCGCCGGCGGACGAGGCGAGCTTCGCGGCGCGCGTGAAAGCGGCCGGGCTGCCGACGCGCATGCTGCCGGCGCACGCCGCGTTCGCGCCCGTGGCGGCCTTCGCGGAGGCCGCGGTGCCCGCGGACCTCCGGGGCTTCTGCCTGAGGTGATGTTGAAGCGGGCGTCTAACATATCCCGCCGGCGGGCTCTAGTAAGGCGGCTCCGCACGCGAGCCTGGCGTCGCTTACGGCGCGCCGCGAATATCGCCTCGACGGCCGTTTACGGCGCGCCGCGACCTCGTCGCCTAGAAGGGCGTCTCGGCGGCGTCGTCGCCCTCCTGGAGGTACTGGTCGAGGAACGCGAGGGACGGGTCGTCGTCGGACTGCGCGGACATGAGGGAGCACTCCCAGGCGACGTTGAAGATGTACTCGCCGGCGACGTCGCGGAGGTCGAGGTCGCCCGGCGCGACGAGGGCGATGGCCTTGGACTTCGGGTTCGAGCAGAGGAGGCGGCCGTCCGGGCCCGTGATCTTGACGGGGAGGTCGTTCGGGTCGCCGCGGAAGGGCGCGTGGGGCTCGACGAGCCAGTCGCAGCCCGCGCCGCGCGTCTTCGTCAGCGTGAGGTCCGCCTGGAGGGCCAGCGGCGCGCGGCCCGCCTCGGCGCACTCGAGGCGCGCGAGCACGCCGCCCTCCGGCGGCGGGCCGTCGCGCGCGTCGCGCCGCGCCGCGACGAAGCGCCAGGAGCTGCCGATCTCCTCGAAGGCGCGGACGGCCACCGTCTTCTCCGAGAGGGAGCCGTTGAGGCACTTGGGGAACTCGCCCATGGTGTAGGCCGTGCGCCGCCAGACGCCCAGGATGACCTCCGTGTCGAAGAGCGCGTGGAGCTCCGCGACACTCGGCGGCGCCGTCCGGAGGCCGTTGGGCGGGTTCAGCGCGTCGAAGAGGCCGTCCTGCTCGGCCTCGGACATGAGCTCCGCCGCGCGGCTCCGGAGGTTCTCCGTGATGCCCGCGACGTCCCGCGGCTTCCGCCGCTCGGCGCGGCCGGCCGCGAAGTCGTCGACGGGCGTCGAGGCCCAGGGCGAGTCGGGGCCGGAGCGCAGGCCCGCCTTGTAGGCCTCCGACGGCGACTTGCCGACCGACGCCTTCTTCCTCCCCGCCGGGGAGCCGCCCGCCGGCTTCCGGCCGGCCGGGGAGCCGCTCGACGACGTCTGGAAGCTCGCCATGGCGCGCACGAACGGAACGCGGCGCACTCCCGCACGAAGGTCGTGGACAACCGCAGGATCTCGCGCGGCCCGGAGCGCGCTCGCGGGCAGCCTCTCGAATCGAGCGGGGGCTACACTGCACCTCGGGGTGATCGCCTTCAAGCTTGGATCGGGCGCACCGTCGTTGCCGCCGGGCGTCGATCGACTGTCGTGGTCCATCATAGCGGGAGAAATTGGGCGTCGGGCCGCGCCGGCCGCGCAATCGAGGCCATACCCGAGACGCGCCGAGCGCCCCGTCGCCCCGGCGATGGGCATCCTCACGAGATATAAGCACGCGAAGTCGCTCGTCGCGCTCGCGGGGTTCGCCGGCGCCCTCGCGGCCCTCTACGCGCTGCGACCGTCGAGCTTTTGGGCGCTGGTCAACCCGCTGAGCCTGCCGCCGCTGTACTTCCTCGCCGGGTACGTCTTCAAGTGCGGGAGCCTCGCGGCCATCGACGAGGTCTGCGCCGTCTACCTGCGCGGGGCGTACGGCGACAAGCCGATGCCCTACCGCGGCAACGCCGGCGCGAAGGGCCTCGAGCGCCTCGAGTGGATCGACTACACGTTCCTGGCGCTCAACAGCGTCATCGAGTTCTGCTTCGCGGCCCAGGTCGCGCACCTCGTGCTCACGTCCCCGCACATGGCCTGGGAGCTCGGGAAGCTGGACGCGCTCAACACGCTCCCCGCGCTCTACCTCATCTTCGCCGTCGACGATTTTTTCTACGCGCCCACGCACCGCGTCATGCACATGCCCTTCTGCTACGCCTACGTGCACAAGCACCACCACCGCCAGCACCTGCCGGAGCGCGGCTATCTGGACGCGGGCAACGAGCACCCCATCGAGCAGGTGCTGGGGCTCTCGTGC